TATTTTTGTGTTGTATGTTTTTCTATTTTGGCCTTCTTTCCTCTATCTCGCTCTCGTTCTCTGTCTGAACGCAAATCACTAACCAAATTATTCAATTCAACATAAAATGCTGCACAGAAAAATCTGCGATCGACGCAAAATTATAATAACAATGTCTCTTCCACAGTACGTTCGGTATGTGTGTATATGTCAATACAAAGTGCACAGATAAAAATGAGCAATCAACATTGGCCCTAAATTCATTGTTTTATTCGCTGCGGTCGAATAGAAAAAAATTTATGTTCGTTGTTGTGTTTTTATGTTTCGATTGGCAAACGAGACCGAAAATTATGTCAACCTTCCTATCGGCTTTGTTAGCGGAGAGATGGTACGAAGCGCAAACACACGCTACATTCAAAATCAATGTGAATGTGGGCAAAATGGCATTTGGAATGGTTTTTTTTCCTCTACATTTTGAAGGTTGTACACAGAGAGCCAGTTCCAGATCGCCGAAAACGGCCGCCGCCATCATTCATAAAGCACACACGCGATCAAGCGAAACAACGGTTCGAAAATGGTGTGAAATTATCGCGTTCCATAGTTGCCTCCGTTACAATTTCCACCATTTGAATTATACGTATAACATCAAAACCTCGCGATTCGAGGTAAGGTTTTAATTCGCTTATGTGTATTTCATTTTTCTTCATTTTTTATTCGTTCTTCGCACGAGCGTGGTCGCCACTGTGCATTGATTTTCAGTGCGAGCAAGCGCGTGCGCGACCGCTCGTGTGTACTGTATTAGAGTGCAATGCAAAATTGAGAAAATGAATTGACTAAATATTACATTTCAATGTGAGATTTGTTTGTTCCTCTCCTTGATTGCAATCAGAACGAACGAAAAAAAATTAAAATGAAAACAAACCTCAAGAGCGCTCGCTTGCTCACTTGCTTGCACACACGCTCGTTGCTTCCACTCATTTCCTTCACTGAAATCTAACATTAAATTGAATGAATAAATCAAATAATTTGTTTTAGATATATCGATTAGCATTGGCTGATTTTCCATGCATTCGTTTCTCTAAATCTATCAGCGCTATCTCACCAATCAGTACTAATTTTCAACTCTTCTATCAACGAGTTCGGTAGAGAGCGAGAAGAGAGTGAATTTTTAAGCAATGCAAACACACAATATGATCGATATATGAGAAATGCTACACCATATGAACGCGTGAGAATAAAATACTGACGCTAGCAGGTTTTTCGCAAAAGCGGGATAAAAATCAGTTGCACGCAAAAGAGACATTTCAAAAGGTTACACGCAAACGGAACATTTTATTTTGTCGCATTTTGAATTTTAAAGCCATGATTACAACAACAATATACTTCTCTCTTGCGTGCAACCTTTTGAAATGTCTCTTTTGCGTGAAACTGATTTTTATCCCGCTTTTGCGAAAAACCTGGTAGCGTCAGTCTTTTATTCTCACGCGTTCATATATTCATGCTTGTTAGTTTAGTTTGCGCTTCCCTACAAGAATTTTGCGACAACGCTTATGCAAACGTATCGCCAACCTTCCGCAATAGTTGTCACAAAACAGTCTTGCACTCTTTTCCGGCCAAACCTTAATCAAAAACCCACATTATATTCAGCCAGAGCTTGGCGGTGTTTATTAAAAATAAAAAAAATAAAAAAAAATAAAAAATGCATGAACTGCGATCAACTTCATTCGAATTCAGCATGTTGTATTTTTAAAGGCTGCAATGGCTGATTATTCTACTTAATAATTATTTTGAATAATTATTTCTTATTAGCAACGATGAGCAACATGAAAAGTTTAAATAAAACGATTTGAAATTATGTTTTCAATGTAATGAAGTTGGATACAATTCGAATTTACAGGTTTACGCATTGCGATATGTCGCAGATGTGTCGGCGTAATGATTTTGCGTAAACCCGTACATTGAAAAACCTATCGCAATGCGGAATGTTGCGGGAAGGTTTTGCTTTACGATGACATGTCGACGTAAACCTCAATGTATCGCAAAATTCTTGTAGGGCTTAATGAAGCACAGGCGACACACTGTCTTCGCTTATATATCGAGCCCTTTAATATATATACTGCATTAATTAGACGTATTTAATCGGAATATAAATTACGGAAACATACTTAGATTGAGCGCAAGAGCGTGAGCTCGCTCGTCGTATTCACCGCAAAAACAGATAAGATAGAGGCTAAAGCGCGCTATCCCTATCTCTTAAAACCGCTTTCGACTCATCCCAACACATTTTGCTTGGCGTGTTTTCGCTTTTTAAATTTTTTGGAATGAGCCAATTATCGATATTGACAAACATACATTTATAAATGATGATAAATTGACCTCCAAAACCGATATGTGAAAATGCTGTTTTGTTCGTTGAAAACAAAAGTCTGATAAATTTTATTTATCTTTTTCAGCTGGACGACGTGATTTTCATTCCCATGCCATGACACACTAAATGAAACACATACAAACACAATGATTTTGGAAATGGTTGTCGATTCTCGCTTATTCTATAGAAATATATTATTATTCTTATCTTATCTATACCATGGCACAGTACCAGGCACACGCATAGCAAACTACTTAATACTATCAGCAAATCAATCAATGCATAGCCGTTCTCTTCATAAGCCATACATAGAATTTTACTAATTTAGACACCCAATTAAAATGACGTTCGACCAATTGAACGACGCAAAATCAAGAATCTTGAATTAAGACCGTTAGATTTTTGGAAACGTTGCTGTTTTTATATGCTCTTACAGCGTTTTTCTCTCGACTTGGAAAGCAGCTTTCTAGCGCTTGCGCGATATGACACGCACATTTTATAATTAGTATGCAAAGTTATATATGAGTAGTTTGGAGCGAAAATGTAATACAGAAAAGTTGTTCTTTTCAAACTACTCATATAGTCGATTGAAGCGATGAAATCTTCTTTTGGCGTCATTTTTACAACAGATGATAGCACATTGTACAAACACATACGAACATTCAATTCGTCCGTGATCTATGGTCAAGTTGCTTTTTTTCGTCTTGTTTGTAATTCAAATTGGGAATTTAGTCGAATTTTTGAATATCGCGTGTTAACAGCGTTTTGGCAGTGACATTTTTCATATCAACATACACAAATTGTACACCGTCATAAGTCGCCGGAGTTTTTCAGTCACAATCAAGATGGGAAAAAATCCAAAATTTTCTTTCAGCAGAAGCAAATGTGATTTATTTCCATTTTGCGACAGAAATGACGGAATAAATCTTTCGATGGAATTTTTGCTCGTTCCTTTTGTTTGGTTCGGTTCTATGGGGGTTTCTTCAGATAAACCTTCCATTTTTTTCGCTTATACATCGAGAGCTGAAAATTTGATTGGTCAATAAATAATGGATTTTTGACTTGGCATTTTTTTTCAAATATTTGCTATTCAAGTTTTTATTCGTCAAAAAAAAAATTGCTTCAGAATTCTTGCAATGAATATTGCATTTTGCATTTGATACTTTCGCGTTCTTCCGAAAGAAAAAAAATCGATTCTTTCGTAACATTTTCTTCGACTGAACTAAATTTTTTTCCTGTGCAAAAAAGTTTCTTGTGCAATATGCATAATCAAATATTTGATGAAAAATTGATTTCGATCTGAAAACCGTAGTAATTCTGCCTTAGGCTCTCTCTCTCTCCACCGCAAGAGAGACCGATATTCCAATTCGTTATGCATTTCATAAACTTTCAATTCGCAGTTTTATTCGTTTCTTACGCGTATCGCGTCTATTTTAAAGTTATAAAGTGTTGGTAAATCAACAAGTTGGTGACCGGCGGCAGATCTTTATGCAAATCAATGCGAATTTCCTACACACACATTCACACAGAGCACGAACAGATTTTCTAATGAGTAACTGGCAAACATACACACATTTTATGTGTTTCGTTTTGGTTTTGATGTTGTGATTGTTGTTATTGTTGTTGCTATTTTCGTCAATCAATCGTCTCAAGAAGACTTGACGCACGTTTGCACTAATGAAAATGCTAAGAAAATAGCTTATGTACATAGTAACATTTGTCTTGTATGTATGTGCAAAGAGTAATAAATCAATAGTTCATGCAGATGCGACCGCATGGTGAGAAACGCACGAACAAAAAACAAGCAACGGTGAAAAGAAGAAGAGTTGTGTGCATATTTAAATGATGTTCATGTACATCACCGCATTTCAAACAACAACAGCGATAAAAAGAGATGTATTTATTGTTTGATTTTATGACGGATATACACAATTTTTTGTGTAGCGCTGCTGATTGATTAATAGGATAGAAGAAGTTGTGAAGGAATCGATATGAATGAGCAGCAGCAATGGAAACAGCAACAGCAGCAGAAAAAAGTTTGAATGCGGCTATTGTTTCGTTATTATTGTGGTTGAGCACTTTTCATTGGTTTTGTTTCGCTTTTATTATTCTTTTCAATGTTTTTTTTCCTTCTCTCTTCATACATTAGCACATACGAGAGGTGCACAATTTTAATTTTTCGCTGTTTTGAAATAGAGATTATATGGAGAAAGCCATATGTTTTCACACATTTTGTTTGGATTTCAGGCTTAGTGGTTGTATGACCCCAATCTTGGGTTAATCCACGGTGTGTGCGCGCGCGCGCACAATCACACGATGATCACACATTCGGCAACGACGCGCCAACCACAATCGTTGTGTCGATATGAGGCTCAACTTGCCAAAATCGTACATGTTGCATATATTGCATGCAACAGCTGATTTATGTGCGCGATTCTCGCGGATAATCTCGTATTGCATCTCGCGTCCATCGTTTGATTTATGCATTGTGTGTGTGTGCGTTTTGTTTTTGTTCTCTTCTGCTTCTCTCAATTTTGAATCGGCCTCAATCTTCTTCGATTCGGGGCCCAAACACAAAAACATAATTCTGAATGTGGGTCGTCGATGCAATTAGTGGGAAAAAAAGACGATAACAAGAAACAAAAAGACTCACTTTTTTGTTATCAATTGGAATTACAGTGATGCTGAAATGTTCTATTGTGTTTTGCTTATGAGTTGCACTTGAAAACCACTGCAATTATGATGTCACTTAGAATTTTGCTGCGAATATGTTCGCTTTATCTCTATTCGTTCAATCACTATCAAACAATTTTCAACGTGTCGTTGTCACTTGTTTAACAAAGTCTACTGAGCGTTAAATTTATGTTTTTATTTTTGTTTATTCTTCTTTGACGTTTTAGTGTTCACAACAAAAATACGGTAATTTTTTTTTGTTGGAATTCAAAACACGTATTAAGTACCTGAGCGAAACAAATATACAATATGCATCGAAAATGTCAGTGATCAGTGTATGCACAATTTCGTCGACCAAACAATGAGTTCTCAGGCAATGGATACAACACTTAAGATCACAACTAAGAACAAAACTTTGTTTTCGTTTCGTTTGGTTTTTTATTCATCGGCGAACTTGTCGTTCTAAGAAAAACGAAATACCGTATCTATGAACGAAAAAAAAACCGTATATACTACTGTGATTATGTTATTGCTCAAAGTGCTGTGTGTTTTGTGTATCTACAGAAAATAAAAGACACCAACAACACAAAACTAGAAATAAAAATTAGTGTTATAGATCGAGTTTTAACGATGCACAATGTACTGAAGTCGTCGATTGACTGAAAACAAGTCGAAAAGAAATTTACAGAGGAAAACAAAAAACGAAAATCGAATACAACAGCAAACGGCAATAACAAAAATTCATTTCATTTGTGTGTGTGTGTGTGCGTGCGTATGTGAGAATGAAAAAGCGCGATACACACGAAGCTACACATTGTGCTTACATACATGCGGCAAACGCATACACAAACCCAAGACGACGACAGCAACAACGACTAAAGACGAGCAATGTTCACGTTCGACCACAGCATAGTCGCGGGAGAGCACATGCTGGTGCCGTTGGTACACATGCCCATGCCGTGTAACAGCCAGAAAACATTGACTCGACTCAATATGAGTGTGCATAGGTTGTTTCTGTGTTGGAGAAAAAATATATATAATATACATTCGTCGTGAATTGGCTTTGGATCGGCTCTCGCGGTCAGCTACAACCAAATCTACGACGACGATAACTGGTTCCAGTGCACCGAAAACAACAAATAATAAAAACGATAAAAGCAATACTGGGATTGAACATGTACACAAGAGAGAAGCGGCAATATCATTGCTATTTGTGGTACATTTCCGAAGTGGCAACGAAGTTTGTTTGGTCAAATTTATACTTAAAGTGGCTTTAAATGTCATTTCACAGACAACGGTCAAATTTCCGTCACAATCGCATATCATCGTCAAAATTGCTCGTTATTCTTTTTATACAACTATTTTTATATCGGAAACATTCTCACGATCATTAAGTTCTACGATTGTCTGTGACTTGCTTGTGCCAGTTCATTTTGCCTGTAACTATTTTTATGATCAAATGTACGGCTGACTCTCGCCAATTGCGCTATCACTAACAGCCTTTCTGTCTGATTCTTTTTTTTATTCTATCGCTCTCATTCTTTCTTACTCGTTTTTACCGTGTTGATCCTCTTCGGAGGAAGGCTTCGCCACAATTCATGTGTCGGCTTGCAGAAAGAAAAACACCCAAAGTGCCGGCACCTCAATATGATTTTCACGTATCCGTGTACGTGTGCGGTTGCTGCCATTCTTCTTCTTTGAAGAAATTGCTCTCTTTCTCTGTGTATGCACGTTTCGTTTTTTTTTTCATATCGACGCAATTAAAGTGCATCTCTTTTTTCTATCGCTTGTTTTATCTGAGCGCCCATGCGTCATGCTTGTTGATTGTGGCCCGGAGCACACGTACTTTCATTCACCGAAACAAGAAATGAATCGGCGATCGCGCTTTCGCGCACTCATTTTCATTTTATCGGGTGGAAAGAAACAAGATATATCCCGTGTGCAAATAAAATGACTAACAGTCACTCAGTTGTATGCAACTGTATGTAGTGATACACAACTAAAACTGGCTAAGTTGATTGAAATCATGCGTTTTGTATGGAAACAATCACGTTTAGTTATTCTTTCAGTCAGTCGATTAATTTGGGACATTTTGACTAAGAGTGATTTGTGATTGAAGTTAACTGCAGTTGCTTATTTTGTTCGAGACAATCACTTTTATGCTCAAGACAAGTGCTGTTTTTTGCTCAGGATGAATTTTCGAAATTTTCCCAATGGGAGCAAAAGGATTTTTGGTCGGTATGGCTCGCTAGGCCACACCAAATTAGGCCATTTGCCACCATTTATCCGGATCCATAGCCCCCATAGGTAGGAAAAATTGGAACTCTGAAGAAGAGTATGGGAACTTCTTCTCACAATTGCAACATTTCTGTCGCTAATTTTCGTACTCAACCAATTTATGTTTGTCGCAATTTCAGTGCCGGTCTTAATTTTTGTTTCGTTTGTTTTTGTTTGACGACAAAAGAATGAATCGAATGAGTAAGTCTGCAAAATGGCATGCATTGAAATATTCAAAGAGGGTAAAATCAGTAGTCGTATGACTAACACATTACTATTTTAATTCGCAAAACCGCAAACGGTTTCCAGATGAATTTGGCGTTGAAACGGCTGTCAATTCACATCGGCACAAAAAGGTATTTTTAATTGCGAAAAAATTCACACTAATAACACGATTGCAATAGCCAAATTAATAACCACCAATTTCAGCACGTACAAAATCCAGAGACGTAGAATGAAATCGTTGTTGTCGTTTCGTTTTCAAGTTTCACACTTCTGACTCATTTCTAATGGAATATGAATGCAATTCTCGGCACGAAACCAAACTACAATCCAAAGGGAATGACGGTGCGTCGAAGCAAAGTGAACTTCTTCGAATGAATTGCATCACCTTTGAATTTGATTGTGTAATGCAAACACATGCGTGTACTGCTTTGCGTGTTTGTGTGTGACATGTCAGCTGAAAAAAGTGGTGCGCGTAAATGTGCAAAATATGAGTGAGCGTGGAAAGTCAGTGAGACCCAAATAAATTGAATGCCCGAAAAAAAGTAATCGGCGTACGCGCGCGTGCTTATGCCGAACACAACATAAAACCAAATTGTAAATGAAAAATTCACAATTCCGGTCATATATAACGAAAAAACGACGGAATCATAACCAATATTCAATTGTGGTCGTTGTTGTTTTGTTGAATTCTATTGTTTTCGTGCATCAGCACGCTCGCTCGCGCGCACACCTCAATTTTTCCGCATTTAATTTTTTTCTCGTAGGCTTTTCAGATTGTGTTTTCGTTTATTGTAATTATGACATGGTCGGATAAGGTAAAGCAATTCATGCCGTCAAGTCAAGATTGAATAAAAAAGAATGTGAGTTTTTTTTAGAAAGTTCGCACTGGATTATGGCGGCTGATAATTTTCGTATTTTTTCGAATAAATTTTATGGGTTTTTTCACCTTCTCAAAAGAAGCAAGAAAAATATGTTTAAAAAAACAAACTGCGTTGAAATTTCTTCGGAAACACTTACCTTAGCGTTTCGCCACTTCTGGGTGTTATTTCAATACACGCGCGCGTTTACCAAACCGAATGTCTGCAAGAGAATGAAAAGAAAGCACGGGATTCAGTGGAATTTCCTTTTGTGGCTAGAAAATACAACTATGATTCCTTCTTCAGCACCAGATACCAATCAAGTACTTCGACTGTTCGAAACGAATCGGCGATATTTTTTTCCATTTGCTTGAATCCGTTAATATAATTAACAAAACCCAAAGGATAAATACATAGATTAGCTTCAACGTGGTTGTTTGTTTCGGTATTCAAATCAATTCATGCGTGTTCGACGCAAGATTTACCTTAGCATTTTCAATGTGCACACGACAAAGGGGGGAGAATGCAACTTGAATGTCAACCTAGCAAATGTGCCATTTGTCAACGGATTTTGCAAAAAGACAATGCATTCACCGACCCGTTTCGAATACATATGTACAGAGACATGATACGTACTCAATTGATTTGTTCTGAATTCAAATTAGTTTCGGCTCAAGAACCAGAAACGCAACTTGCATACTTTATGTGTGTCGGTGACATAAATTCTACACAAAACGCCAACGAATTCTATTTCGACGGAGGGACAGAAAGAAAAAAACGCCATTTTCAAATAGAGAATTCGCGTCTTGACTTGGGACGTTTTCGATATGTAGATTTTCTCATCTTGAGTTTTGCCTCACTGGATTTGCTTCAAACCAATTTTCGTTCAGCGCTAAGTTTCGAGTTGCCAAACACACGAAGTGCTTGATATTCTCAGATGAATCTATTAGAATCGATAGAGAGCAGTTTCGATCTTGGATTCGATGAGCGCATTCGGAGGATGCTCAAAAGAGAGGAAAAAAAACACAGTCTCAATTTAGTCGAAAAAGATTCAAAATAAAAGAATAACTTGATACGAACGAATGAACGAAAAAAAAACTTAAGGTTTTTAGGGAACAACACACTCAATATTATAGCGACATCTATTATTAAAATAGCTTGTAGTAAATGCATTTATAGCATTTCCCTGTAGTCGCGATGTTTCCTATTAAATTCCCTTGTAGTACTGACACATTCATGTTTGACACTTGTTAACTACATACCACAGGGGAATTTAATAGGTAACATCGAAACTACAGTGAAATGCTATGAATGCGTTTACTACAAGCTATTTTAATAATAGATGTCGCTATAATATTGAGTGTGAAGGTTTGATATGGAACCTTTGAAGTAGACAAAAAAATCTGGATATTCAAATTATTTCGAATGGATGTTTATGTGTAATTCAAATGTGAACGAATTGATGATAGAAAACAAAGTGCATGAGATAGAGAGAGAGAGAGAGAGAGAGAGAGAGAGAGTGAGAGTGAGAGTGAGTGAGAGAGAAGACAAATCGAGAGGTAGCAGAAGACTTGAAAAGAGATTTAAAGGTGCTCAATGAGAGATTGAGATCAAAACAACACTATATTGGAAATATATATTGAATTTCGAGACCACGAATGGTTTACGAATTGATTTTGGTTGCAAGAAATCGTCTACTTCCTCACCAACTAATTCACTTCCAAGTGCTCTTAATCCGAATGTGAATCTGAATCTGAATATAAATGTTAAATGAACATAGAAAATGTTGTGACCCGTGAAGCGACTATATGTTTTATTTCGGAATGATTCGCAATTGCATTAGTTTATGGACGTTTCGGAATACTTCTCATAAGAAGCATTTTCAACATGAAAATTTATCTAATAACAAATGCAATCACTCGTTCTCGTTCTCTCCGAGTGAGACTATTTTTCATTTAGGTGCTGGTATTTCTCAGTCAGTGTATTGCATTTTATCTGTCTCCCAATCGTTCATTCTCCCTATGTATTGACACTTTTATACGCATATATATACTGTATTTATATATTTGGGTTCACAGCGTGTTCGCTTTTATTATTCTCATTCTTGTGTATATCTCTTCGTGTTAATATTTCATCATTCGGCGATTCCTTTGTAGTGTTGATCAACTTTGTCTCTCTCTGTATTCCCTGTGCATTCATCGTCTGCGGTTTTTTTTCTACATAAAAATTTTTCAGTTGGAAGATGTTCATCGACAACATCGCGCTCCTTTGGTGGGGCACACACGAGTAATTCTGTTCGAATTCTTGAAATAAAATGTTAAATGAACCCACCGAGTGATTTCAATGAAGAGAAAAAAATACAAATAATAACACACGACCGAAAGCGGAAAAAAATGTAATGTAATTAGGTGCATGGAGAATTTTTTTTGTTCAGTTTATCAATGTTATGAGGATGAGAGAAAAAGGGTGAAAGAGAAAGAAAGAGTGAGTGAGTAAAAGAGAGAGAGAGAGAAAACACATTGAAAATATGGTACAAAGTATACAAAAATACACGCTCAAACAACGCAGAGTGTTTATTTGACCGCGAAATCGTGTATTTTTTTTTCTTTCCCTCACGTCGTGTATTAAGTCGTAAATTCGGTTGCATTTGGCCAGAAATAGCCAAGGGATATGAGTCAAATCATTCTCTGCATTATCTGACAATTGTGTGTATGGAACGAAGAGCACACACACAAAAGTAAATTGTCAAAAGTAGTTGAACATCATCACAAGTCGGGATAAAATATACGTTTGAATGGTGTTGACATATACAAGTGTGATGAAATTTATCCCAAAAGTGGATGTCAGCACCTATAAATGTATGGTTTATCCCGACTTGCGATAAAGTTTAACTACTTGCTTTTGTGTGTGCAAAAAATTCGAATTTGCGCATTCGGGTGATACTCAAGGACAATGTCCAAATGTTGATTAACGGTGGAAGAAGCACACAGCGTACATTGAGAACACATTGAATTTGACCTTAACATGTTTACCGCAGAAAATGCAAATATATCGGTTAAGTCGAATGAGTCCGTTCGAGTGTTTGTGTTTTTTTCCCATCGTCACTCATTCACATTATCTCAGTCACTGGGTAAATGGATTCGTTGACGCGCTTAATTCTCTGTCAAGAATAATAATAAATTATATCAACTATTCCATTGAATTGGTGTGGGCCCGGAGATCATCAATAGCTACTTAAGCCAAGTATCTTGGTTCTTTTTTGTCGGTCTTTTTTCTACAGAGCTGACACAGGCACCTACGGGGTGCCGGCACTTACTTGAGTGCGCACCTGGTACTATTAAAAAACACTTTTTTCTCAATATTTTTGGATGTTTTGGAATTTGATTATTTTCATAATCTAAATATCATAGATTTAATTTTAAAAAAAATTACATCCATAGGGGTATTGCAACGACCATAAAATATATGTACTTCATCAAGTTTATCAAGCTCTTTCCAAGTTTATGCATAGTGTCGAACTTTTGTTCAAGCTCTACCATCTAAATGTACAGTGAAATAATTTACGGGCACGACGTAAGATGGCGTTTTTTCTGGTAAAAAAAGTTGCAATATCCCTTTGATTACATCAAATTCAAAAATACTCAATTTTTTTTCGAATAGTACTAGGTGCGCACCAAGCGAGAGGTTTTCGTGAGTTTTTTTTACATACAGATGCGCTCGAAGCGCCATCTCAATAACCCCAGGCAAAGCAAGTGTCAGCAGATGTTGAATCAACAATTTAATTGAAAATATTGACGCAACGAACAGATAATTGTTCTTCGTTATTTATTGATTTCAGAACAAAGTATCAGAGAAAACTGAAATAACATTGACATCTTTTTATAACATTCACTTAGGTAATCAACACTCCCAATTTCGAATTAAAACCAATTCCACAAATTTTCATGTTTGTTCTGCTGTCTTTCACTTATATTCACTGTATTTCATCTTGAGTATAGTTTAGATTTTTAACTGGCAACCAAAAGTGCAAAAAGAACGCTTTAACCTTCAAACCGTAAAATGTATTTTCTAACGTTGTTCGTAAAATCGGTGCCTGAGTGCCCATAATGCATTTTATATGGGAAATGTCAGTTGTTTCTTAATTTTTTTTTTTTAAATGTAAATATTTCAGTATTTATTGATCGGAAAAGTATGAAAATTAATTTTAAATGTTATAAAAGTCATAAAAAATCGAAATATGAAAGACAACAGCAAGTTTCTTGGAATTATTTCAATAAAGTGGGAATTTCAATGTTGATCTCTTCACAAAAAAGAAGGCAAAAACATATACATACAACTTCCACTATGGCCGATTTTGAAGTCAAAAATTGAGATTTTGAACGGCAGGTTGGATCAAAAAGTTATGTATATCACTAGAAAGGTCTTAAAAAGTAGATGTCATTTTTGGTATAAAACTTCAAAATAGGCCGGCATTTGGCCAATATTTGGCCGTTGGAATTTTTTTGGCCAAAATTGATAAAATGGCCATATTTTGATAAAATGATGATCGATTTTGATGTTTTATAACTCAAATTACATGTACTGTTCAAGATCTTTCCAATGATGTATATTTCATAGTTCCCAAATTAATTTTTATACGCAATTTGTCGAAAAATGTATATGGGCACTCAGGCACCCATTTTACGTATAGCGTATCACACATGTTTACGCGCATTTGTGGTAAGCTAGTGCGCGTATGTGGATATGTTAACGCAATTTTTGTAGCCAAATGTTAAACGAATCGAACCATAGTTATTTTATTAATTTATGATAAGAAATAATTAAGATATAAGCATTCAAAGTTGGTTCTGGGCACACAGTGCTCAATTTACGGTTCGAAGGTTAAAAAAGAAAACATTTTAAACAATTTTTGAATCTACTTTCAATATGACTTTTTCTTGTTTGTTACTATACATTGCATTCAGCTGTGTTTGAAATGTCAAAATGTCGAGCGCTTCAAGCGATTTGTTCTGTACGTTCTACACGTGGAGAATTTGTGGATATTATGAATTACTGTTTTTTGTATGTTGAGTGAGTGTATTGTTTAATAAAAATAAAAATTGAACTTAAAAATTGTGAATAGAAAAAACATACACACACAAAAAATCATAATTAATTTATGTAGAATCAATCATTGACATTTCACGCCATTTTATTTAGAAACATCAACTTTTTTCGAAAGCC